CATTGTCAGAAATAACTATTACGCATATTCAAATTAGAGCGTGGTTTGAAGGAACACTCATGACGAAAGGATACATTATGTATATGATATAATCCTGAGGCATTCTTGAGAATTTCGAAACAAATGTAAAATCTGGATTTTTCACGAGCGATAGGGAACTTTTTCCCGAACCTAGTATAAAGTGTCCTACTCACGCAGAGTCCTTAACAGTGAATGCCAGGTGTGCGCTTCAAGAATTTGTTGTAATATCAGGCACTGTTCGTCATAAGCACAGTTTTTTATTGTTTAATCACCTTGTTTGAACCGATGCGCTGTGGCCGAGTGGTTGTTATGTTCGTTGCGGCACGCATGGAGCCGAGCTTTAACCACAAGTTTTTCTGGAAATCAGCAAGAACGCCCTATGGCTTCACATAAGAAGAAGACGAAAAGTTATCAAAATGCTAGAAGTACTGGGATCCGCGCAATAAAAATTGTGATGATGGGCCGTTTAAATAAATATATATGTGTAAATTCCGATTGTGGCTTTTTTCCGTTACGTAGTAAAAATTTCACTAAAATTACTCGTACCTAGTTAACTACTAGATGATCGTAGCCGTTACATTTATCTCCCATTCGTAATAGACTCAATAACTTGAAATTGATGACACAACATAGTTGATATCTTTTCTTTTTTTTGTCTTTCGCTCATTAATATGCTTATAGGAATCAATTTTTCACACAATGAGACTCGTCCTTTTTTGTCTAATAATCTCAAAGAGTGAAATAATGCGTTTGATGGGAACCATTTGCAAAGATGTTGACAATCACTGCAAACGTCTATTCTAAACAATGGATTTATCAATTCTCAAGATAAAGTTTGAAGACAGTGCTTGATACTCTTGCTTAGTTACTTGAACAATCTTTTTCTATGCGGTATCCAGGGATTCCTTTGATCGTTTGTCTTGCAACTGTCATATACCTATTAAGGTGTGTGTATGGGATTGCCCTATACGATAAATATAATGATAACATGGTGCCGTTAATCTGGTCCTTTATCCATGGTGAAAGGGCAAAGGACAAAGCTCTCGGCGTTGATCAATCCCTTAGGGATGGGCCACGCATTTGTCTTGAGTTTTCAACTTCGTTTGAGATGATTGAATGCATATGTAGCCTTTTACAATGAATCGCGGTGGCCTCCCGCTGAACCGAGTCAGTGCTGCTTATCCTCCCAGACAAGTCTGAGACCAGCCTAGTACCAGTTTACTGATCACGGAGGGATGAATGGCTTGGTGAACCATGGCGCGAGATCGATCCATTGACCTTGTGTGCGACGCAGAGCACCTCTGACCACTGCGCCACATGCACTCTTATCTATGGCGAAATGAAGCGAAGAACTACACAGCTTGCTCTAATGGTAGAGTCCGCGGTTGCATTAGATCTAACACGGTTTATACAATCTGCTGCAAGGCATGCAAGGCGAGTGTGTTGACGAAACGGCTAGACCACTCTGCATCCGTATATGACAGCACCTACCTGGAAACTCAAAGCCAAACAAAACACTCCATCAGGCAATCACCGAGGTCATAAACATAGTGGCGAAGGTTTTGATGTAAAAGTAGCTATACTCGCATAGAAATCCAAAGCATCTATGCGAGAAGTATTATTGCTTCCTTGTTTAATACAAATTAAAAATGGACCGCAAGGAAGAATGCCTTGTGATTATGCATGAACTCACACCACACTTCAGGCTAATTTTTCACGTGCGCCCACATTCCCACCCCATGGAAAACGTCGGTTTGTCTCCAATGAATATTCAAAGGAATTGAAAACGTCTAAATGTGAATGTTTTTAGAGAGATGCTCCTTACTGCGCGATTCGAAAAATTGTTCACTATGTCCATCTGCGGAATTTTATTAGATCATGTGACAGAGTAGATTGCGGATCACTTTGACCTATTCAGCCTTTGAAGGAGACAAATTCTATGAAACGTCGGTCATTGTACTAGTATTGTGTCGAGAAAACGATTTGAAATCGTAACGCATTGTCTCATAGCTCTATGAAGTGTTTCTGAATCTACAAACTTTCAGATGCTTCGACACTTTCTTATGCTGTTCACGTTTAGCTTGATTTCGGCCTTCTCATCCGAGGACGAGTTGACAACGCCGGCAGTGAGAGTCGTTCGACTACAAGTTGATTATCCAAACGCCTCCATTTCAGATGTTCATAGCAATCATAAGTAAGTAAAAAACTATAAAACCTAGCGATAAAGTAAGCACTATAAAGTAGTTAATTTTATCCAGCATGGCTTTGGTCTCCGAAGCACTGAGGCAGTCTATTATCTTAATTTAAGGAATGCGCTTATCATTTGAAAGAGCTATCAGTGATCGCGATTAATCTTCTCTCAGAAAATGAATTTTCATAATGAAGTGTGAGCGTATTTCCTTTATTTCTGCTATTCTCGCGATCATAAGGAGACCTGTCCAAACAGTATTCTCCGTTGTTCAAAAAGAAGACGAAAAAATGAACTGAATGCTAGAAGTACTGGAATTCGCACAGTGAAAAAAAAACGACTGTGAAGACGGAGCAATAAAGTGACACGAAAATATACACATATACAAACCCTCTTTGGCGAGAAAATGAGGTGATGAGATTTTACTGCTATCCCACTTTACTTGTCCGATGAATGAGTGAATTAATTACAGATAATATCGACACTCTTCAGAAGATGACTAGTGTCAATAATATTTGCGTGATGCCTTATACCAAATAAATAGAGTAATTCTCAGAAGTGTATTCATTTTCAAAAGTAATCCTCAACGGGTATATGTAGTAATCATAATACCTTGTCACCCATGCGTAGATTTGTCAGCAGATTTTTTGCCAAGTAACAAGGAAAAGCTGCATCCCTTCTCAAGCATGGATAACTTCATTGTCGAACATACCCAGGTTGTAAATTACTGTTTATCACCAATGAGCACTATCACCACATTAGAGTGGCAAATATTGATAGAAAACGAGCAGGGGGATCCTCACAGCCGAAGAACTCTCGAGGGTCAGTTTTCTATAGCCTCATCATCGATCAAATAATTTTATTTTCTCGATCAACAGAACGAGATTATGAACAAGATTTATTCAGTATAACTCTGGTTGAGATTTCGCGGTTTCCCTTTGTATCTGGCTCTGCTGAGGTTGTAAAGGTGTACAATTGAGGAGTACATTACCTATCATTTCGACCATTACAGGCTCTGAGGAGCCTAACCGTCGAAACATCAGCTATTATTGTGCTGAATAAATGTCGTTAACAATATCATGTCTGTTTCCTCTAGTTAACTAGAAATAAAAGGTTTCCATTATTCAATAAAGTGTCGAATGATACACTGTTGTACATTAAACTTTGGGGGGCATCTAGCATTTACAGGGAGTCAGTAGATGATTTGGAAGAGACAGCGAGGGCAATTTCCAGTATACAGTTGGTCATATTTGAATTCCAGCTACAATCTGTGACTTTTGTTTGTGGTAACTTTTTGTGTTCCAATAAGTATTATTGATTGAATCCCTTAAATCAGATGGAACTCGATTTTGCGGAATAGTGTGATTGCATCGCTACGATTTGTCAACAAACACTGGCTAATTTGCGGAAATGGACCGAATGAGAGGTGGGTGTTGTTCATACATTCATTATATTGTCACATCGTGACCTTTTTCTGTTGATAGATACCAAAAACCAAGAAAAATTGATCTTTCGTAGTGATGAGGAATTTGTTCGCTTAGAAAATGAAAGTATGAAACGTTCACCTTTCGTCTAGGCCTTAGGGTTGCGTCATGCTTTAAACTTTATTTGTTGTATCATAGAGATGGTTAAGTTGGAATTTAGGATATGTTAAAGGGCTTTTGTACAGCCCGATACAAGTGTTTCGGCCTTGCAACCTCGTCAGTCAGTCAGGCCCTTCGCCTTTAGCTAACCTTCTAGGCGACCCCACGTCCCTCTTATAAGAGGTAGACGTCGACGAACAGATTTACACAATCGCTGTCTAGTGAGATATCACAACATCGGAATTTTTTGACACTCGATTGCTTTTGGCTGCTGTTTTTGTTATATTATACCTTTCATTCCTTCTCTCCCTTTAAGTGTTTTATTGAGACCACGCTCAAATTTCCAATGCTTCTCATAATTATTATTTGAGCCAACGCGTCATGTGGTCTATCAAGTCGCCAGCCAAAAAACAATCGAGTGTCGCGAATTGCTGGTCTTGTGATTTTTCACTTGACGGCAACTGTGCAAATCGTTCGTCGTCACCGACTTCTTCTTATGGGGTCTAGGGGCCCCTGAGAGGATTGGCTAAAGACGAAGGGCCTCCCCGAATAACGAAGCGGCAAGGCCGAAACACGTGTATCGGGCTTTACTAGAGCACTTCAACAGACCACATGATATGTTGGCCTAAATAATTGTTATTAGATATATATTAAAATTTGAGCATAGTCTCAATAAACCATTCGAGATAAGTGGAAAATCAGGGCATGTAACAATTTTCGATGTTTTTCAATCCATCAAACCAAGGTCATTCAAGTGGCCTCAAAGGTGCTCCGCGCCGATGTTTTGATTCGTGCTCCAAAATGCCCACTACCTCCTCAAAGTCGTCATCGTTATGTCTTTCTGGCCTATGTCAACCAAAGAAGTACTTTTACGACTTTTCACTTCCGTCTAAATTTTCTTTCATAAGAGCACAAAATCACCTACTCGTTTCGGCTATGTATTCGTTACCACATGCCTTGCGGAAGATTAGGTATATAGCACCTGAAATCATACAGTCTCCTTCCTTAGCATTAGCGCATATCACATAGCCCTCGTTTCACGCAGACGGTCGTGCAGGGCGGTTTGGAACAAAATGGGCTGGTTTTCAAAGGACTTTGAAGATGATGACTTCTGCCCCGCGAAAAACGCCATTTGTGGGCAATTTACTTCGCCAGATTTATCAATCAAAAGTAATTAACCAAGAGAATTGAGTGGTGAACAAAAACACGGCCTCAGGCGGGAATCGAACCCACGTTTCATATCCTATCCGGGGGACGCGTGCTCTACCCACTACACCACTGAGGCACATTTGCCCGACCACTCATTCTTCAACATCTTAATGTTAGCTATCAGCCACCAACCTTTGACAGGTTTGGCCTTTTGACAGTGGTGTAGTGGTAGAGCACGCGTCCCCGGATAGGATGAAAACGTGGGTTCGATTCCCGCCTGAGGCCGTGTTTTTGTTCACCACTCAATTCTCTTGGTTATATAAGTAACATAATAACACTGCGAAAAAAAGCAGTGAAAATACGATAATTTTAAAAGTAATTGATTTTGGCATCGTTTATACTACGCCTTTTCTTGCAAACCACTTTGGCATACAACTTGTCTGCACTTGGTTTCCACATGGTTTTTGTCATGAGAAACACTGTTAGCTTGCTGACGCGTGCATCAAATGGTGCTGTAGTGGAAAATGCTAGTGAAGCGGAGCATAAGATTAATGGAGCATGGAGCGAGCTCAATCTCAAAGCAAGTACAAGCAATTTGTATGCCGAAATGTTTGCAGGAAAATGCCAATGGAACATTATTACGGTCATGCAATTTCATCGCAAAGATCATTTTGAAAAGAACCAAATCGGTATGAACTTTGCAATTTTGCTGCATGATAATGCTCGACTTCATGTTGCAAAACTGATTGAAAACACGTCGTACAAAGGTGATTTGGAAGATTTTCAGGAGGTTTCACCTTACCCACCTTACTCTTTCGACATTGCACCGTCAGATTATCACTTGAAATTAGCAAATTCATGTTACAAATTGAAAATTTTGAAAAATGGTGTTTAGGCACAAAAGTCGTCATCTTCAAAGTCCTTCAAAAAACAGTACCATAAAACCTTTATTTCGAGTTGTTTTTATGAAGACCACGCCCAAATTTCCGTAGATCCTTTCGTTATTATTTGAGCTAACATGTCATGTGGTCTGGTAATGAGCTCTTGTGCAGCCCGATACACGTGTTTCGACCTTACAGTCTCGATCAGTCGAGCAGAATCCGTCGTCTTTCAACTCTTTTCTAGTCAGTTCTTCTCGGGAGCCCTACTCTCCCTACAAGAGAGACATCGCAGACGAACGCTGTAAGTCAAGAGAAAATAGCACAGAACTTGCACTGTTGTACACTCGATTGCTCTTTGGCTGATATTTTTATCATAATACACCTTATTTTCAAGTATTTTATTAAGACCTCAAATGATAATAAAAGGATCTATTGAAATTCGAGCGTGGTCTTGATAAAATACTCGAAATAAAGGTATAATATGATAAGAATATCAGCCAAAGAGTAATCGAGTGTACAACACTGTTAGTTTAGTGATGTTTTCACTTGACTTGCAGTATAAAGCGTTCATCTTCGATACCTCTCTGTAGGAGAGTAGGACTCCCGAGAGAACTGACTAGAAAAAAATTGAAAGACGACAGGTTCTACCCGACTGACGAGACTGTAAGGTCGAAGCCGTGTATCGGGCAGCACAAGAGACCAGTACCAGACCACTTGACATATTGGCTCAAATAATAATGAAAGGATCTATTGATAATGAAAAATACTTTGTTAAGAAACATATAAATAAATAGCGTCCTTGACGCACTTCCAAGCAGAGAAAACAATTTGCAAATTTTTGTTTTTACTACTACAACGAAAAAAAACGGTGGGGTCATATTCAAGCACCTGATAATTGCTAGATAGACTTTTTACAATTCATACAGAGCTTCCCTCATCAATTCTTTCTAGAACATAACTGTTTTTAGTCACTGCACTCACTTCGCTTAATATAAGGGGTAGTTTGTAACTATCTTCTCATTTGGATCTGACGTGCTATTGTTCACATCGTGGGCCTGCTTCTCCTTTTCACCGTGATTTTGGTGGCTATTTTCTCGTAGTCGTCTGAGATGGCTATTACTCGCGCTCAGCGTAGTAACTCCTTCTTCTCTTCTAGTCCCTTGCAAAATTGTTGTTGTTCGGTAAATGTTCCGGGCAAGTTTTGTTTTTTCGTGTGCAAGGAATGAGTAGAGGAGTAGTGCACTATAATGTTCAGTTGCGTTGCTTTCGACATCATCTCGTAATGAGCTACTTTCGCAAAATTGTATTTGAGCGTTCAAGAAAAGGAGCTAATTCTTCTTACGTTTTCCTCTTACGGCTTGATATACTCTGATTGCCCATTCAATAGTACGAAACATTCATCCATATTTTCCTGTGTAAAGCAGATTACCAAGCAGTCACTTATAAATCGACACTAGAGCAATGGTTCCCGGCTTACTAGTGGGGCTTTAACCTCAACATGAAGTTAAGAGCTTGGTGATCTTTTCCCCATTGCCAACCGTCCGATCTGGATAAAAGATCTTCTTGATCACCTCAAAATCTTACAGTTCAGGCAACTCTCTAGAAGAGTCATGAGTTGTTGAGCCGACGAGCCATATATATTTATTTGTGCTTCGTTTTCTACAGACAGTTCATAAATGCTTCTATGGCGACGTCATTTGAAAGTTCGTGTGAAGGGCGGTAATATCGAATGACTTCAACACATATGCGCTGTTTGGCCGTGAACCATTGAGTTGTCTAGGAGCATTTTTGTTTTAAGAGAGTGGACTGATATATCTTTGCCAATTGGAGAGTTAGAAACCGTGTCATTCTATCCTTAACGAAAATGTCTACTGTGCTCAAAGAGAAAGAAGAGCGAATGAATCTGTAGCAGATGGTATAACTTGGTTTCTGAGTCTCATATAAACTCCAGCCCACCTCTCCAACACCAAACTATTCCTGAGCACCTAAATCGTGCACAGCCAAGCAGAACGTTTGTAATGGAGTCACTAGATGTTACCGGTCTCTACACGAGCGTTTCGCATGATGCCGCAATACAACCCATCCAAAAACTGCTTATAAAAATCGGAGACTAAGAAGATATGTACGGCTCGCCATCTCAACATGATTGTTTCGAAGAAATGTCTGAGTAGTTCAATCTTGAGGTGGTTGAAGGATATTTGACCCCAAGTTAGAGGGTTTGCAATGGGGCAATGATTAGCAGCGAAGAGGTGACATAGGCCCAGAAGGAGATCAATAGTATTTCAAACCCAAATGAGAAGTTAGGTTTGAAACCAACTCTCATCAAACGAAGTGCCGCAATCATAAAAAATATCTAATAGTGGTGGTGTGAAAACTCTGTGTGAATTGTAGAAATTCCATCTAACACATTACGTCGCCATTTGGTTTGGAGCTGCCTGTACGACCGCATGTTTCAAAGCAAGGAATTGTGTGATGTGTTCTAAGAGTAGGAAGGAGAACTGCATGAGATCAGGTACAATATACCAAATCTCTTGTAAGACATTTGGTGACGATTGTTGGGCAAAACATCACCATTATATTCTTCTGTCCTATATGCACCTAAAGTAGTACTTCTACGACTTCTTGATTTCCATTTAGGCGTTATTTTTTGTGGGCACACTATGTGTCCACATGAGCAACACTTAGATGAGATCCGAAAAGTCGTATAAGTACAACTTTCAGTGCATTTAGGACAATACGACATAACGTTGATGTCCATGAGGGTGGTAGTAAAGATCTTCGAGCATCAATCAAAAGATCAGCGTGGAAAATTCTTGAAACCTTCTGGATAGGTTTCAGAAGTCGAGAATAAAAGAAGGAGATACGTGAAAAGTTATAACAAGCTATTAGCAGTAAAAATACTAGATTTTCGGAATGAAAAGTTGTATTGAACTTACTTCAGATTTGTATTTTAGTTTGAATAAGGTCCATTTTTTATTGTGAGTTGCAGCACATTGATAAACTCTCCTAATTCAGGTTGCCGACGGTGTGTTTAATGCATTAGGTGGATTATTCTTCATTATCACTTGTCACCTATCGTCCCGTTAATCGTCGAATGACTCGAGTGGGTACCAGCAACACTTCCATTTTTCCCTGTCGCGTGCAAGAGTAGCCCAGTGGTTCCTCCTTGCTCTAGAAATTCGCTGAGCATCTTATCTTTCTTCTATGCCTTTCGTGAGAAAATCGGACCATCGTGTCGGCGGTCTTACTGTAGAGCGCTTGATGTCCCGAGGAATCCAGTCGGAAACGACTCTCGTCCATCGATTGTCGTTGAAGCGCATCATGTGTCCGGCCCACCATATTTTCGATATCCTGGAATGTAAAGCGGCGTCTTTGATCTTCGATCATTGACGTACATCGGAACTTCGGATTCTTTTTCTCATTTGAGAGATACGAGATGCTCCTAGCATCGACCTTTCGACTGCGCGTTCGATAACACCAAGTGGTCTTTCATTGTGCTTACGCAGCGACCAGGTTTCTCCTGCATACGCTAAGGGCAGAGATAAACGTTGAGTCGAAAAGGTGGGCACGGAGTCGGATGTTCTTTGTCCTCTTCACTACATCATCGATGCTCTTTGACGTTCTCGAAGCCGCTCGTTTTCTTCTGCTCAACTCTGGAGCTAGGTCGTTTATCATGTTGATTTTTCGACCTTGATAGACGTAACTAGAGCATACAAAATTTCGTTGAGCGTGACTGGCTTATTAAAAACCCATCCGTTCCTCATGAACATCGTTTTCGTTATTAGTTGAAGACCATCTTTGCACAGGCGTTGTCGAAATCGGTCAACATTCGTTCCGCTTGGCTAATGCTTAGTGTTATGAGGACGATCTCATCAGCAAAGCGAAGATCGTTCAAATGTCGACCGTCAATTTTCACTCCCCTATTGCCCATTCTAATGTTCGCAGACGTTTGCAGTGAAAAGTTCTGGTGAGATCTTATCGCCTTGACAAACCCTTCTTCTTACGTCAATAGTGATATTGTTGCGAATGGAGATATTTTGGTCGTGAAATCTTTATATAGCTCACAAAGAATCATTACGTACCGAGTGAGGACGCCCTGGTTATCCAGAGCCTCTATAACCGCTTCTGGTCTCCACTGACTCGAAGGCTTTCTTCAGATCGATGAATGTGAGACAGAACGGTATTATGTGCTCTCGTGAAACTTCAGTGAGTCTTGTGATCGTGTGGATGTGGTCTATGGTGGCTACATCCTTTTCGGAACCCTGCCTGCTCGCATGGCTGTCCTTCGTCCAGTGTTCTGTCAATCCTGTTTGGGATGACTCGAGTGAAGAGTTTATAGACAACGGACAGCAAGCAGATTGAGCGATAATTGCCTATGCCGTGAATTTTTTCGAACAACAATAC